AAGCTGTTTAGAAAAAGAATTCTCCTTTTGTAAAAGTTAAATGTAGATCACATTAAAATTACTATATATATATACACACAAATCTATTAACACTATAAGAAATTTGAGTGTACAGTTTTAAAGACATATTTCATCTAAAAATTTTCTCTCTCATCACTATCGCAGTGAGAAAATGCTTCTCTCGACTTGGCGATTTATTCCAAGCTTCATTCTATAGCGGCAGACCGAGCGGAAATACTGTTCGACTTCTCAGAATTCAGAAGCTGGGAAATATCAATAATAAATCCTTGAACGTGCACGCGGTTCCTGCAATATTTTCTCTCGTATTTCAACTTGCGGGAGCAAAGGGTTATGCAAAATCCTCAGCATCTGTCGATGAAACCCCCTTCGGATCATGGACGGGTGTACCATCAGGCGTGAAATTTTCAATTTGGCTCAACCATCGGACAGCCATCGAGCAGCTCGGTCTACCGACTTGCTAAAGCTGTCTGACTATCTCGAATTGACCTGCCAGAAATCTTTTTTTCATCATCACACTCGGAACATTACGGATTTTCGCGCGCCGCTATCCCTTGCCGCAGAGAATAATTAATATCGCGCGAGCGGGAATATTTCCGCTGAGGATAGACTTTCTCTTACAATGTCATTTTTCGACATATTGCCCGAAGAATGAGAAATTGCGAAGTCATTACGAATGCATATCCATTCAGTTATTCTATACCTTCACGATTTTTAGGAGTCTGTTATTTTTCACTCGTTATTTTAAGACGAAAGAACTCTATAAAATAATTTTATTTTCCAAAATTAAACGAGGATGCTTAAATGCAACTAATTTTTGCATTTAAGCATCCTCGTTTAATTTTGGAAAATAAAATTATTTTATAGAGTTCTTTTGTCTTAAAATAACGAGTGAAAAATAACAGACTCCTAAAAATCGTGAAGGTATAGAATAACTGAATGGATATGCATTCGTAATGACTTCACAATTTCAAGCGTTAATTTCAATTATTATTTAATTTACTTAATAAATTTTAATAATCTCAAAAATGATGCTAAATTTTATGAGAATTGATGAAGAATATTCCTCCTTAGTCTGAATAATACAATTCTAACGATGATATGTCCCCGGATCTGCGCAAGATGCATTCATCACGAATATAGGATTCCGAGTGGGTTCTCCTTCCTACGATGTCTAACAAGAACTATTGTCGCAGATTCGATATCGTAATAGTGTGCGTGAATCAATGATAGAAACGTCATGTTCTTCCCCGCAACGTACAACCGGAATTTCATGTTCTCGAATCAGGGTGCGATATCCGCGACATTACGACGTGATAGTCATTACGAAGACAAGCGTATATCATATCTCTTGATTTTTTCTTTAATTAAAAGCTACATTTTTATTTTCTCACGTTTTTAAGAATCACAAAGTTTATTGCCATACAATTCTTTTCACAAATTCTGTCATAACACAATACAAAAAAATAAAAGCTTAACAAATATTCGAGTTTCAGAATGCTATTTTTAAAATAGATGGATATTGACGTATGTATAGCTAAACGTTAATTCCGTTTCGTTTTATTGAATGGCATTGTGCGGTTACAATGGTGACGAAAAAAGAAAAAGTCAGATTTTCTTCCGATAACGACATCAGAAGATGGTCTTCTCCATCTCGATTATCGAGCAGTTGTATCAATATCGGCTCCATCACGAGGTTGTCTATATACCGAGTGACACGCTTCGTTCCTCTCGTCCTATCTTCGCCGATATTGACGCGACGGATCGGTTGACGGACGGCGGAATCGACGCCGTCGTCTTCGGATGCGATACGGACCCGTTCTCGATCGCGACGGGCTGCGTGCGTCCGCACGCGTGCGGCGATAACCGCGGTAACGGTATACGTCGACGTATACGGCGGCGGCGCCGGCGCCGGGAGACACCACGTAACCGCGCACCACCACCCTCCGACATGCAGATGCTAGCTGCTTTCGTATATATGCGGACGACGCAATGTTAGCCGCCTAGTTACGAAACAAACGTATCAAGCCCCGACATGACGCGATGCTTCCCATGATATTCAAACGGCACACGCGCGTACGTACAGTTACGCGCACACCGGTACCGGTTACGTGCAACCGACCGGCATAAATATGTATGGGACATGAATGCTTGAGCGTGTACAGGACGATCTAAACCGCCGAGTTACCGCACATACGTGTGTATAGTCGAAGCGATACGTGTGTATGGGCATATGTGCGTGCGTGCATGCGTGCGTGCGTGTGCGTGTGCGTGCGTGCGTGTGTGTGTGTGTATGTGTTTGTGTGTGGCACGTGTCAACTGTGTGAATGTGGGAATCTATGGGCTTGCTCGCGTACCGGATGTTCATCCGAGAGATCAAGTATTTTACTCTCTCTCCCTCCTCCGCCCCTCCAAATCTTTTTCTTTCTCTCTCTCTCTTTCTCTCTGTAGGTATGCCACCCGCTTCGCAAGTGGTCATAATTGCGTTAATTTAATTCCTTTTTGAGTCATGCCCTTTTCTTCTAAAATTTATCGTAATCATGAAAATTGCAATAATCCCCTAAGTAACGCGACTCTATATGATTAAAAATTATTATGTATGACGGATTATGATAAGCGATGGGGGGTGGAATTACGCTTCGGATGTGTCCCTCTGCCTCTTCATTTGTACGCGTTTACCCCGAACGAGTGCATTCCCTGTTACATTTTTTTTGTTTCTTTTTACTTTAATTGCGGCGAATGAATTGACATGTTTACGGTCGTAATTAACTTTGCACGCAAACTTCCGCGCATCTTCTTGCATCTTTGCGCATATTGGTGAGAAAATTGATGAATCGGCGTGCGTAATAAGTATTATAACTAATTCGAATTTGTTTCGTCCGACAATAATGTTCAAAGTGAGAAATTAACGACGAAATACGTGATATACGCACGATACTCGGGGGTGCTATTGTCGTTGTTTAAACACAGAAGCTGATCTCGAGGAGGTTTAACGTACTACGTCGACACGCGTTGGCTTAGATTAAAATAGCAAATGCTGTCTCAACGCGCAGTTACTCACCGGTGTCTGTGTTTCCAGGTAAGAGAATGGCGTCGTCACGGAACCAGGAGGTTACAGTGAGGTGTTCCTTAACATCTTCCCGGGCTGTACAGGACAACACTGCGTTGCATCCCTCCATGACGGGTTGTCTATTTACCCTGACGTCGTATCCGGGTACCGTCAATACTGTAAAATTTGACGGCGCACATCAAATTGCGGCAATACGTTTAATTTTAGAACTAATTACTACAAACAGAAATTTATATTTTTACGAAACATCTTCCAAAGCTCCTGGAAAGCCAATTCTCAAAATCATGAAAACAAAATCATTAAGAAAAATACAATTTGATCACAACGTTTCAAATCTTTTTGAAACTAAGCTTTACAACTGCTGCAGGTATTAAAAGTTTGTTTCTTAGTCAATTTTAAATTAAGTTTAACACAAAATCGTAATATTTAAAACTTAATTATTGGGATAGACTTTAATAAATGACTAAAATTAGAAAAAAAATTATGTTAGTCATTGTTTGTTTTCAGTAAGGAAAAATGAATTTAAAATTGATTAAAGAGGATCGGCGAGTCAAAGCAATTATATTTAAAATGCGAGAGAGAGAGAGAGAGAGAGAGGCTCTCTATAATAAAATTCTGTTATATTCGTATATAACAGAAAGTCGAAGAGAAAGAGGAGGGAAACTAAAGAGGGACGGGGTGACGTAGCGTTGAAAGCGGAAGATGGATGATTATTAAGAAGTTACCACAGGCAGAAAGTGGAAAATAAGACATAGGGAAGTAGAAGCATGCATAATGAACGATCAAACTTATTTCAAGTCCATGGACAATGGCTGCGTTGTAATGCGATTCACTCCGCTTATTCCGTTATGACGCGTTAATTTACGAGCATACAATTTCAAACAGCCTGTATTAAAGAGGAATGACGTATCAAGAGTTTGATAAGAAAAAAGAAGCATGCTAAAAATATTTCGGAAGAGGTTCAGGCCTCGAATCCTGAGGTAATATTTTTTGCAATAAATTCTTCGCGTGTTTATAAACGTAGATTAAGAATACTTATTATTATTATTCTGACGATCAATTTAATTTGTGACATTCCAGCTTTGGTTTATGTGATTGCGTTGGAAGTCCGCTACCAATCGTTATATGCTATAAGTTATAGAACTGAAAATCTATTTAAGATTTATAATAGAAATATTATTAGGCAATAAGTCCAGTCTCACCGCAACCGATTTGGCGCTTCTATACTTGTTTGTTTTCTTTAAAAATACTTTATATTCCTGATACATATATTATAGGATGTCACCGATTTTTTTTAGAGCAAACTTTGATAGTATGTTCTATATCTGAGCTAAAATAAGAAAAAAAGGTTACATAAACATATATCCTAAGATTTAAATATTATTAAAAGTTGTAGAAAAAATTTGAAATCTGCAAGAAACAATTTTTCATTTAAGTTTGCATTTTCAAAATGTCCGCATGTCAATACAAGCTTGGCATCGATGTAATATTAATTTATCATTGATGAGGCTATATTTACGAGAAGCGACGTTTCCAATTTTCGTATAACAATCATGTATAATCATATGAAAATTTATATGCTGTTGGATAAACAGTTTTTCAATGGCAGTTCAATTGTAATGTATGGGCGTGTAAACTCAGGTGAAAAATTATTTTTTGTACATTTTATTTTTTTGTTATAACTTTTTAATAAAGCATTATAGAACCTACGTTTACATATAATATTTTTTTTCTTGTTTCAGCTTATAAAATATATTGCTAAAGTTTGTACGAAAAATTCGGGAATGCTAACAAATACTGATGTATATTAAAAATACATGTTCTCGTATTGAATTCAATGCGACACGACGGTAAGATTTTGCGAAAAAATTTTTGATTGCTATACAAGATCCAATCGTCTCACATATTTTACTCGATATAATGCGTTTTCATTCGCGGTTAACATTATACAAGATGCTGAGGTACGAGAGACAAGCTGTCTCTCCCTCTCTCTCGCTAAACCTAATCACCCTCAATCTAAGCACACACTCATACATCAATATGTAACAGCGATGCATGGGGGAACGGCGCGGGCGCCCAGGTCGCATATCCCATTCTCCGGAGACACATCTGCTCGCCGCGTATATACACATTCTACTCACACGCTCCGCCATAATGAATGTTGGCACAAAGTGCGCGATTAATTTCCCGCATTTGCATCTTTAGTTATATTAACCATATATAATCGCCAAGTGAATACGGTAACTCAAAACGTTATTACGCCTACTACATCGACCTCGTTACCTCGAAACACACATTATCTCGCTGACCGCGATTTTAGACGAGACCCAGTCCGTAAGTATATCTCTTAATTTAAAGTTAATAATAAAAATACATATTTGTATCGACGCTTTCAATATCTCTGCATCCGCATTGAGATACGTTTTACAACGAATAAGTACATATCCCACATTATATTTGATTGTGATGAAAAATTACTTTTAGGCCCTGCAGTCGCACGCGCGTGACCAATTCAAGACGTACGTGCCGCTAAGATTACTGAAAACTTCACATTTTTCAAGTGCCTTCGAGACACCCTCCCGCTTCCCCCCCCCCACCCTTCTTTTTTCCCTGCTCCCTCCTTCCCTGCTCCTTCTTCGTGGATTCGTCCGTAAACATTCGTGCCGAAGTAAACGCGAACGATTTCCTCGATAGCTCGTAAAGCGAAAGGAGCGAGGCGGCAGAACGGGGAACGGAGGGAGAAGCTTAAAAAGCCCAGCGAACGGGGCCAAGGGATGTGCACCGGGAAGAAGAACGCGAAACGAGAAAAGCCAAGAAAGGTTGTGAGGTCGGAGGAACTACCGTTCGCCTAGTGACGAGACGGGTCGTGTCGTTCCACCCTTTTCGCCCGTCCGGGAGCGTCGGAAATTGGGGGCTTCTCGGATGGTGTCCCGACGCCAGGCACCTTCGCCTGCCCCCCCCCCCCGCTTCCCCTCTCCACCCCCTTCGCCCGGTTCGACGCCGGTTTGTGAATCGGAAGGTGAAGGAAAGGGTAGAACGGGACCAAGTATGGGGTGGCGAGAGGGGCCACGGTACGTGACGATAAAATTGAGATGCGCCGGTGAGAGGATGCGAGAGAAATAGCGCAGAGGCACGAGCGAGGGAGAGAGAAGGAGACAGAGAACAGGGTGAAACGAAATGTGCAAATAAAGCCAATATGCGCGCGGATCTCCAGCCAGGCGGGCAACGATATTTCCACGAATTCCTAGAAATCGTTGGAATTAACTTTCCTCCTCTCTTCACGGACGGATTCGCATCGCACCTCCCCCGCGCGATCCCTTCCCACGCCACCCTTGTGCGAGATCGCTCACGCCGGATCTCTGATACCGCGCGCGCTCCGCGCGCTTACCGCCCATTACGCGCTGATGCGGCGTGAAAATGCACCGTGCACACCGTGGCGTATCGATGCATCGCCGCAACGAACGTGTTTTGCCAGACTCGTTGCTTGTACATGGCTCTCTCTCTCTCTCTCTCTCTCTCTCTCTCTCTCTCTCTCTCTCTGCGGAGAAACGGTAGATTTTTAAAATCGAATTTTCCAGGGATGGATTTTCGCCGGGACGGATATATTGCCACTTATATCACGACCAGCCAAGGACCCGTTAAAAATCGGCGTCAAATACACGTAGATGTAATTGAATAACGGAAAGATTCACTTAAAAAAAAACGGGGGCTTAAATTCAGCTCGCTAGAAATTGCATTGCAATTCGGCTGATCGGTTAAGATAATTCCTTAATTACATTTTCAAGTTCAGGCGCAAGCTCCCGACAAGTTTCGTATCTTATCGTCGTGCAACGCGAGACACTTCTTGCGTACGTTTTACTCTTAGAAACAAAAACGTGCCTTGTGCGTGATTAAAACCGTCGACCGTTTTGCTGGAATTACATACAATATACGAGCATTTGTCGCGTCCGAAAGGGCGAACCTTTTTCTGCCCAAGACCATTTCTCGAGAACTGGTGGTGGGTTGCTAATGTGGTTACGTTCTTTTTCTAGTCGCGCGCATCTCCCCTTCTTCCCCCCCCCCTCCTCCACCTCCTCCTCCTCCTCCTCCCGTTGATAAAATGAAGAAAATAAAGAAGAATAAGAGCGGTACGCTGGAGAATCGTCCGTCTGCGGAAACGGGTGATCTCTCACCGTGCGGTGGGCAATAATTCTTTCCTATAGCATCCATACTCGGCGCATGTGTATGGAGAAATACGGTTTTCGTCGCGCAACAACGGCCGAATAAATATCCGCTTATATTATACAAATTTCAAGGGATTAGGATGTACGTAAGATACGACGTAGCTGCGCGATTGTTTAATTCCATGTGCACGTACGCGTCCCATCGCGCGCTCCGGCACGTTGCGGCACGTAACGCACTTCCCCCCCCCTCCTCCAAGCGCGCGCGCTACATTTTTGTTTTATTTAAATGTATTTTTAATCAATGAAACTTTTCCATAATTTAATATAAACTTTTAATTAAGTGCCAATTTGCATTTATTGCATAAAGATGAAACGTTTATTTATTCATGTTTCGTGGTTAAATTCATTTCGCGATGCTTTATTTCTCGATGGTTAAATACCTCTCGAGCAACATTTTCCCGAGCGCCCGCGCGGTCGGGGAAAAATCGCGCGCGGGAAAGCGCGTGAAATATAAGACTCCGCCGACCGTTTTACGTTACGTTTTCCCGGCCGGTACCACCTCCCGTAATGAAATCATTTGAAAAAATTAAGATTAACGGGACCGCGTTCTCGGATGAGCGTCATCCGAGCGACGATTATTCTCCCGCTAAAGGTTAAACCCACGCGCGTTATACACATCCCCCTCTTAAATTTTTAAGACGCGACACCTCTTCTCCAGACATTATTCTCCAGGACTGGCGAGCGGGTATAACGTAGGATGTAATGAATATTCCCTTCGCCGCGTTCTCTTTATTCCATCCTATGACGCAGAACCACACCTCTCGTCGAACGAAGGCCGGACATGTCGCTACCGAATTCTCAATCTCGTCGAAAAACGCGATCCTCACAAAAGAGAATTTCGACAATGACTCTCCCTTCCTCCCCTTCCCCTCTCTCTCTCTCTCTCTCTCTCTTTCTCTTGCAAAATAAGTTCTTTGGCGAGCACGTGGGGACGGCCGATGTCATTTTAGATAAGTGAACCGTTCCCTTTTGGCTCGCTCGTTTCAGAAGAAGAACCGCTAGAAGGTTCTCCTTGGCCGATGTTCTCGCGTATAGAAGAAAATAAAGTGAAACGAGAAGAGGGGATCTCAGATAACTTGCACGTTGCGCTAATGAATGCGTGTCGTACGATTACATGCAAATAGTCATTAACTTTTGATTATCTTATATCTTCCACCTATTACTATGCAAAATTACGGCGCGCTGTCGTTACATGCTTGCTGTTATACTATTTAAAGGGCTTCTTTGATACAATAAGCTCGTCATTATGCTATATTTGAAATAAATTTATTATAATAAAACTTGATTTTTTGTTTGGGAGAAGTTGATAATTGCGTAATGTTTGCCGTTATAGGAAATGTTTCTTCTTTCTCACCTTGATATTAATGGAAAAGAGAGAGAGAGAGAAGAGATTATATCAGCGTTAAAATAATCTTGAATTTATCAGTCTTTGTTATTCCGACGAAACGAAATTCATTGGGAAAACAATCCCGATTTATGCTTGAGCTACCCTCATACATCATCTTGGAACCATATTAAACTTGTTTTCGCGAAAAGCACGAGCAGAATGACTTGATTATTTATGCCTATACTCCGGGGCGGATTGTGAACTTTTAACGAAAGCGCTGGTAGGAGTAGATATAGAAGCTTCATATCGGGCGGATGGTTCGGCGCGCGGAAGACAAGGACAGTAACGGCAAAGAGATATCGATTGGACGTTCCTTCATCGTCCGATGACTTTGGGGAGAAAGTTTCGGAAACCACTAGCGGCGAGGCGAATTTTTCTTCCCGCTTTAGTCGAATCATCCTGAAAAACTTTCCGCCGAAAGTTTTCCGACGGGCTGGAGCGCGCATTCCATGTCGCTTCACGTGAAGCGGCTTTGAAAGGGGAGACAGCCGCCTTTGGACCGGCATCAAAGAGTATTTGGATTCTCGCTGCAATTTCTTCGAATTTGTATGCGCCGTGAAAATACGAGAAGTGTGCCGGTTGTTTTGTTACGAACGAGCGCAGAGTGTATTGAAATACTCGGTAAAACGCATTGTTTGACATGCGGGACTCTTTGGGCTTTAAGACCGTCAATATTTCGCGCTGGAATTGTTTTATGTGTCGTCGCACGTGTGTGTCCTGGGGCGACGTCAATTTTTTTTGTCCAACGGACGACAGGCAGATTCGAAACGTGCAGTCGTTGACATTTAAAAATTGACTTGAATTCTTCAACATTAAACTTCTTCTTCTTTTTGCGGTTTAGCGTAGCGGCAGTCATTTTTGCAAAATCGACGACACTTTTGCCTTTACTTGAAGGGTTAAAAACGCGTCGCGGGAACGCCGTTGAGAAAGCAAGCAACCTAAGTGCAACGTAAGCTTAGAGCTTCGTGAAAGCGATCAATGTTTACCCATTTAAAAGGTTACATACCCCCGGCTAAAAAGCGAACAAGCATATCGCGTTTTTTTTTACAGTTGGTTATACATTTATGATGTTATATACGTTTATTATTTCGCGATTTGATTCATTCGATCTCTTGTTTTTTCATCACATTGTAATAATATAATAATATTACATAATATTTGAAATATAACATTTGAAAGACCGCTACAAAAGTAAATATCATTTAAATAACATTACACAAAAATCAATTATGACACAATACAATAAAATTATACACATATTAATTTTTTCTAAATTTCTCTTTTCTCGCAATTTCCTTCCCAGGAATCTTTTCGTTCTTTTTTTTTTGTTCTTCTTTAGCTTTCAAACTTGAAAGAATCTAGCGTACATGGGAAAATATTTTGATTTTCTATTTTTATTCTGAAAAGCGTTTGGAAAGGATATATACCTTCGATATAGCTAACGTCGATAGGCAATCTTTTGATATATATAGTCGTATATATATATGTATAGTCAGCGCCTTTATGTCCCTATTACCATTATTACTGCAGGTATACTCGACGGTCGTTCAGATCAAAAGTAAATGAAAACGAAAGAAGAATTCTTTTCCGATTGGATTCGTGCAGTATGTATGGCGGACGCTGGGGGCGAGTTCAGCGCGGCCGCCGCCGCCGCCGCCGCCGCCAGTAGTAATGATCGGCTTAGAATCAGCCATTTAAATGATGGCTCACGTAGCGCCGACCGGACAAAGTTTTGTCCCGCCGCGGGTCTTTCGGGAACGGCGAAGACTCGCCCCACGTACACGAACCCGAATCGAACTTCCTTCGATACAATTTAACGGCTTTCAACCGTTTCCCCCATCGGTATTTACTTGGATAGCCGTGAAGCCTCTCGGTTGAAAATGCGAGGTGTTGGCTCGCCGTTAAAGCACTCCGGCGTAATGGGATGTTCGGTACCGCCGCGCCGCCGGTCCGTTATTGCAGCGAATCTCGTACGCGGGGGAGGGAGGGGAAGGGGGAAATGACGTTTTCCTCGGATAAATAATGGTTATCGTGTGTATATCAGCGAGACGCGACGACATCGACGGACTGTCGATCCATCGTGGTGGTAGCGCGGTGGTCGGCGCGGGGTGCGCGGCAAGTTCGGATCTTATTCGCGCGACCACATTTTCCACTCAGAGCCGGAAAAGCCATTTCCGCCGGAATGATAAAACATTTTGAAATCTTCCGACCGGATAAGTTTCCGCCGTAAGTCTACAAGACTATGCTTTCACTTTCGGAAGGGATAAGAGACGTGGGATAAGATGACTTACCGGCGCGGAGAGTGACCTCGCGCGAAAGTACGGTCCCGACGGAGCTGGTCGCACGGCATCTGTACCGGGCATTGTGCACCTCGGCTCTGAAATCCTGAGCCAAGAACGGCGGGAAGTATAGCGTACCGTTGCCCAGAAGTTGCCTGAAAGAATATGAAAGGAGCTCTCGCGTTGATTCGCGTAAAGGAACGGCTTATATATATATATAGGAAAAGAGACCGCGCGAGGAAAAAGCGTATATATATAATGGTGCGGATTTCTCGCACTCGTGGTTCAAAACAGGCTCTTTCACTCCGCGTATACGTGGAGAGTTCAAGGAACCGCACTCCGGTTTTATTATATACTTAAACGAATAGTGTCCTCGTCAAATTTATGCAGCAAAAGTGATCCGGCACGAACGTGATCGGTCGGAGGACAGCGGCGGCTGGTGGACACATCCTGGAACGTGATTTACACGAAGCGTGATTTACCTGAGCCCGGGAACTGCCGTAACCGATCTCTGATCCGGGCTGGTAATCCACGTGACATGCGGCGTCGGGCTGCCGTGCGCGGAGCAGCCTAATTGGGAGCCTGTGGTGTTTGAAAAGACCAGGGTGCTCGGCGGCTCCAGGATGAAGACCGGGCCCTGCTGACCGAGCGCAAATTTCACGCTGCACCCTGAAACGAAAAGCGTATATCTATACATACGGTCATTAACATTGTAACGCTGGTTTCGTTGCGGCGCGGCGTGTCTCTTGACGATCGCGTCGTACACGCTTCTACGGAGAAACGGTCGAGCGCGATTAATTTAACTCGACTAACTTATATTGTCTCTCGTCCATTTAATTTTTAAAAAAGGTACACCGACGAGCAATCGCGAAGCGATGCGGGGGTTCTTAACTGAGTGGCGGTTAAAATTTCAGAATGGCGCTGATTTAACAAATAATAAAGATGAATCATTAAAATACGAGTTGATTTTATGATTTTATGACTGGAATATTCTGGAGAACGTTAAACGATATTGTTGCAGCTTTTGCAACAACAGATAACGTTTTACCCAAGTGCTCGTTACGTTGTGTATATTGTAGTTATTTAGAAATCAATATTTTCCCCTCTGTTCTTCGCGCGGCGGTGCCGCCTCAGGTCAAGCGATAGCTCCGATCTGGATTTGCCCGTGGATTAAACTCGATGTTGAAACGATTATTCGATTTGTTGGTTGGTAAGCGCCGCGGATAGAATTTTATCTTTTGTCTCGTTGAAGCGGGCGGAACGACCTGATTCGCGAAGCCGGTCTAAACCATCCTCCCCCCCCCTCCTCCACCCCCCTGCACGACGTATACATTGTTCGCAACCGAGAAACCGGAGAAATCAATTCCACTAAGCCGAATTCGACCTAGATTTCGAATCGATTCGGGACCATGCTCGTTCCGGGATTAAATGCACGCTGGAGCGAACGGTCGCGTCACTGCCCGATAGCATCTACCAAATATTTCAGTCGAAATCCCCGGATTAAGAAGCAGCGTACGCGAGCTTCTGTAATCCGTTCTCGAACGTTGAAAGCTACGTTTACATATAATGCAGGTTTTCCTCGATATCCAAGTAAAATAAACGCCCGCCGGCGGGCCGTGTCGCTTGTTCGAAAAACAAAACGCTTCACTCGCCGGGAATATGATGTTCGCTATTACGGGAGCGCTCACAGCTGAGGAAGAATAAGAGGCTGCAGGTATTTGTTTTGCTCGTATATATACATATAAAGCGGAATCTGCGGAGAGATGCGAAAAAGTTGCGGAGGTGGTCGGACAGCTGAAATACGCAAGCATGCGGGATTACGGGATGATCGAAGGAGATAGCACGCGGGGACAAAGTGCCGCGACGGGCACCGCGCGCGATCAAAGAGATCGATTTTCGTTGCGCCAGCCGGGAATAGCAACTGAAATAATTCATGGAATGAATAATTTAGACCGGCGCGACCTAAGGGGCAACGCGGTTTAAAATACGATTTGACGTGGTTCAGATTCTGATGTATCTATCCATGCAACTGTAGAAAGAGGTCGAAATTTAGTTAACTCCAAAGCAGTTGAGCTTCGTCAAACGAAAATAGAGTGGAATTTTCATGAAATCTGACAAAGTTTCCTGCCGTATTTTGCATCTGTTTAAAGGCAGTCTTTTATTCAATAAAAAGGATCCTTGATTAATTATATATTAAAATTAATCAGAAAATTAGATCTCGGTGAAATGAATTGATTTTCACAAATGATGTAGCTTACAATATGTTGTGAATAAAAAATGTCACAGACAAATGGCTCCATGATAGTTGATTGAGCTATGGTATATCAAAGATGTTAATTTGTGCTTTGTACAGCAAGAATAATATGCTCTGGAAATGTGTCTAATTCAATCCTATCATTTTTCAATTAATTCAAAAGAGAACAGTATTGATGTAACAATATCTGATATCTTTTGTTTATCACAGTATAAGCTATATCATGTATGAAAACCAACTCATTTTACTAAAATCTAATTTTCAATATAATTAGTGCGCAGTCCTTTGCAACGTTTTTTTGCTTTCCAATTATTTATAGACAACCAGAGATAAAAGTTCTTTAATTTCAAACTTTAATTAATAAAAAAAGAGACAAACGAAAAAAACTCGCTTTGACAAAAATTAACTTTAGATAACATAGAAAAGTAATTTACTTTTGTGTAATAAATACATGTATAAATATTTAGTATAATAATAATAGTATAATAAATTAATATAATATTAGTATAAATATTACAGTTAAAATCGTTATTTTTTTTCATCATGGTTTTCAATCATGATTTCTACTTTTTAAATACTTGCAGATGACATGATAGCAGAATTCTAAGATTAGATTCGATTTCAGCGCAAATTACTTCAAAAATCATTATTTACTTTCAAATAAACTTTACATTCTTAAATTCATTCATTCTGGCATTTCTGGCCCATGGTATCAAATACTAATCTAATTGTAAGTTCTTATTCACTAATGTACATTCATCTTCTGCCTCTCTTCTATCTGAAATAAATAAAGCATCGAATTTTATAAGACAGTGCAATTGCTTCGTCCAATATTAGAATTTCAAATGGGAGGACGAAGTCAAAAATTTTCCCCGTCCTCTCTATCGGACCGCGCCAGAGCGAATGTATAAATTCTCGCGTTGTCAAGAAGGACGGCGGGCACGTAGCCACGTGTTTGCTTGCCTTTCAAAAAGCAAAAGCCGAACAGCACCTCCCCACACCGTCGCACATACTCCGTGCGCGTTCCGTCTGTATGCGCGCGTGCTCGCGCACACTTATTTACGCGTTCATTCTTTTCGAATAATGCACGAATCCGCGCGCGTACATGCGGTCGTTGCATTTAATGCCTTCACATATAGCCTTCCCCGGCGCGGCTCGGAATCATTGGCGTCGAGTCATCGCATCTTTCCGTTATATATCCGCGTGACCGGGAAAACATATTTACTGGCGACGTGTTATAAAACGTGTGACGTCCGTATCGCGCGGTATTTTATTCATAACAATTTACGTGCGTCCTCAATTCCACCATTTTCCATGCAGTGTACAGCAGCTTTTCGCGCTGTGTATGTGCCACTGTTTTTAAGGGGGAGGCATTTAATATTTACACGAGGGACGAATATTCGACAGCATCATGGACGTTATACGAACGCTCTTGCGTCACACGTATAGACGCAGGGACAATAGACGCGCAAAAGTAAGAGCCTCCGCACAGAGAACATCCGTAAGACGTTACGTTACGTTAAGTATAAACCTTAAACTTAAGCCCGTACTAGAGGTGTGCAAATAGTTCGAATTCGAATCGAATCGAATCGAATCACAGCGGATTCAGTTCGAGTTCGTTTTCGAATCTGTAAGATTCGAAATTGAATAGTTCGAGAATCAACAATGTTTCGATTTCGAATCGATCGCCTATTTTATTTGTTTCATTTATAACTCCCGTGCGATCAATTATTCTTATCTATAAATAAATTAGTATTTTTGATGTATGTAACGTATCCATGTAGAAATTAATATATAGAAAATATTCGAAGGCATTCGAACTATTCGTGTATACACATATTATTAATTACACATTTTCTAGTTCAAAATGTCACATAAGATCACGATCCTTTGTAATGAGATGTAAATCGTAAATAGTTTGTTTAAATTATTGCGTAAAATAATGTAATTCATAAATTTTGATATTTATTACGTTTAATTTAACATGTAATGTAAATCTGAGAAAATTTGATTCAGATTCGATTCGTATTCGGATTAAAGAGATTTGATTCGATTCGATTCAATTCGATTAGATTCGACCATGCTTGATTCGCACACCTCTAGCCCGTACTTATAAATATAACTTAGGCCAGCGCATAAAACAATTCATAACGTAAAGCCTCATCTACATAAATCGCAAACGCACAATGCAAATGCAAACGCGGAGAAAAAAAGAATGAAATGTCAAAAAAAAAAGAAAAAAAAGAGAGGAACGTCCGCGTTTGCGTTTTGCGTTTGCGACTTATGTAGATGGGGTTTTAGGATCATCATCGACGTCACCTCTCTCACTTATTAGGTAAAAGAACGGTAAAAATAAAGACTATTTAATAATTTAAGGTTTATATTTAACGTAACATAACGTCTTACGGATGTTCTTGTGCGGAGGCTCTAAGAGGGGGACAGGGAGGGAGAGAGCGGCTGACAAAGCTCTTATGAAGGATATGTCGCACTGTCTTTACATCGCGTCTTGCCGCCGCCTCTGTCTCGGAGCTTGTATCAGAAAAATAAAAGCGTAAGTGTATATGATGTAACGGGCGCGCAACCCCATCGCTTTTTCCTCCTTCGAATTCCGATACCTCCCGCACGTCGTGGCGCGCTTGCGCGTTTACATCCGCGAGGACGTTTTCTGCTCATCGGTCGCTGAAACGTGAACCCAATTTGCGATTTGGCCGAGGCCGGGATTTTTCCCAGCTACGGTTTGAAATGTCAGGAGTGTTATACGAATAAAGATTGCACGAATGAAAAGTCTACGTGACGGACGTGCGAAGCACGACTCTTTCCGGAGACAAGCTACATTTAAGCATCCGATGCACTCGCCGGATTAAACTATATCTTCGCGTATGTCTTATAATATATTTTACAAATTATATATCCTTTAAAGAGAGAAAAAGAGGAGGATTATTTTAAAATAGGATTGGAAAATTGTGAATAATGCATAAAAAATGTAATTTCACGTTTCTATTGATGCCAATCAATCCGATATGCCAATGCATAATTTATTTTAGTAGAACGTAGAAATGTGTTACAGTTCGCGAGTCATGAATTCTATGGATATCAATTGTGTCAGTGCTTTAAAATGACAAACATCGTATCTTTCATTTCGAAGATTAAGAAGATAAATATGCAAAATTTTTCTATCCACTAATTCATCGATCATACTTGTTTATGTATATCTCACATTAAACGAACATTAACATTTGAATGCATTATCGGTTTTCGTGATAAATTTACTAAGAAAATCCCGAGAAACTGCATCGCGGTGCAAGACGAGGATGCGGCCGCAGATGCGGCGGTACGTACGGGGCGGGGAGAGAGGGAAGGGGAGGGGAGGGGTGCAGGATTCCAAAGTCGACGTGAGAGTAGGTAGTCACGTCGA